GTAGCTTTTCTTATTGCAGGAAATGTAAGGAAGTGGGACATATACTTCACCTTGTATAGAACTTCAAGCATTTTTGCAATTAAAGAAGAGCCCCGCCACGGTGGTCTAGGGACAATGCAGCCGAGTAACTAAGGTACTCGGCTGCTGAGCCGCAGGTCCCGGGATAGAATCCCGGCTGCGGTGGCTGCATTTCCGATGGAGGCGGGAATGTTGCAGGCCCGTGTACTCAGATTTGGGTGCACGTTAAAGAACCCCAGGCGGTCGAAATTTCCGGAGCCCTGCACTATGGCGTCTCTCATATTCATATGGTGGTTTTGGGACGTTAAACATCACATATCAATCAATCAATCAATCAATCAATCAATCAATCAATCAATCAAATAAAGAAGAAACCTCATGGAAAGATTGGAAAGAGAGGGTTGGCACAATTTCCCTGGACAGACCATGTTTCCACAAGATGCGCGGACGGTTCACAAGGAAGTGTCTGTTAAACTTATTTTAGAGAGACTAGTTTAAGTCACATTTGGTGAGCATATTATTCGAAATAGAAGCTCCGGTGCAGAAACTGCCAGCCAGATTTGCCAGGCCATAGCCGCCTCTAGCAACATCACCACCAACATCAATATCCACGAAATCATAGGATCACCCAGATTGTTTCTTTCCCCACAATAATTTTGAGCCTAAGGCTAACTGGAACTAACATTGACGTGATAAGTTGAATGATGGTGTGACAAAAAGGAAAAAAATGGTGAAATCGGAGGATATGGTTGTGGATTTGAAATCTTTAGGCACAATTTCTAATTATCTTAAACAATAAGTGTTGTGAGGGCTTATGTGCGCGGTAGAAAACGCTACGCAATGTGGAGGTCACATTAATGAAATATCTTTTGAGGGACTAATACTGAGAACGTAAAATAGAAAGAGAAGAGAAGACAAATGTGCCTAAAAAGCTCTAAATCATATTTCTTCGCCCATATGCAATGACCACAATTCATTATCCACCAGCACATATATGACGGTACATTTTATTTCGTGTGTTCTGATATTGCACGCTCGATATCAGTGGTGAAGGTTGAGGGTGTTGCCATCTTCGTCACAATTATGAAACTGTGTTCTTGTTTACAATTGAATATATAGCTGAAGTGTGGCTGGTATTTTTTATTCTGCTGTTGCATGAATTATGTAGCACGTTTTACTAATTAAAATTGTTGTGACGGAGTCCAGCGTGGATGTAATTTCCTAATCATCCCGCGTTTGTCGATATTGAGCTTATGAGTTTTGCGCATAACAAGTCAGTAATTGCTATTACTAGGCGCCAGCTGCTCATGACAGCACACATGTCAGTGCAGGAGAATGAAATGAGCTCTCAAAACAGAAGTTCTTTTCTAAAGTTAACTAAAGCAGGACGTATCTTACTAAAGGAACAATTTTGCTTATACGCCAATTCAGGTCTAACTGGTTAGCAATAAAACAGTTTCGCGCTCATCTAGAAAAAAAATGCAAGCTTCTTCAGCGGGTGAAGAAAGAAAAGTGTCAACATAACTGGCTGGCTGCGTAGCTGACAATCTTTTCTTTCGCGAGAAGAAGAGATAAAGAAAGGCCACTTGTTCTTGCTTTATAATTAATTTGACTCCACTCTGCTTGCTAACGGTCCTTTCAGTCTTCGTACTCCGACGTGGGAGATTGTTACTTAATAGTGCATCGTGTTGTAAATGATTTATTCACGCCGTCGTCGAGGCGTGAAAGAGCGTGACATTCCCAGAGGCAGCACTGGGTACGTGCGTCTCGCCTCTTTGCACGCGCGACGAATGCAAATGAGTGGTGGAAGAAGGATGGATGCGAGTGGGAGATAAACAGAGGTTATTTACGCACGGCTACTTTAAGCGCACCTAGGCATAACAGCTTCCCCTGCTTTCTCTTTTTTAATCTTTAGTCCCATTAACTACGTTTCATGCCGTGAAGCTCGCATTAAGGCTTGAGTTTATTGCATCAGTGAGATAGCAGTTTTTTCCCACCCGGTAGCTGTGATGGTTCAGTTTCTGCTCTTTTGAACTCGATCACTTTTTTTCAGTGATAAGTAGCCATTGTTTAAAGACACTTGGCATTATGCTTGCAAAATGTCAGTACTTTTAAGGAGTACTGCTGGCTAACCACATGCGAAATGCGGCCGCATAACAAAAAAAAAATTTTCCAAAGGCTTGAAAACAAGCTGTACGCAGCTTACTGACCCTGTCGTATAATAAATGCGTTAGTGTGGCTTTAATCTAGAGATTAAATTACCTGTTAACAATAGTCATTTGTTAATCCAAGCGTGTAATTGTTAAAAAAACAAAAACAAACAAACATAGGGGGCGCTTGAGCTTTGTCTTCAATACAACGCGATAGCTTAGTTTGTGCCCGTTTCCATCCTCATCTTTATCGATAGCCTAGCTTCACTTTTTGAAGGATATTGTGCAGCTAGGAAAGGAACGGAGTGACATTCACAAGAATAATAGAAGGAAAAAAAAAAGATGCGGAAAAGCGAAACCAGGCGACTTTGTTTATATATTGTTATATCCATAGAAACTTCAGTGATATGTGAGCTTACCAGTGCTCGAATTAAACTTATAATGTACCAAAAGTATATTCCCACGGCTGCTGCGTTTTGGTATGCAGGTAAAAGTACCATAAATAAAAAGAACCTCAAGAGCAGCATATTGTGCTGAAGTTCTCATTTATTGAACGCTTTCTTCACTGAATACAACACATTTTTTTCTATTTACTTATGATACTAAAAAGCAAGACCATTGCATCTCAAGTAAGATTATTGTCGGAATAGCCATAATGAATTATTCAGATTAAAAAGATAGTTCCACAGAAGCCGAATACCAGAGACTGAATCAAACTGCCCAATATCTATGTGCTTATCTTCGAGCTTTGGATTTATATTTTATTTTTTATTTGTTTCAATATCACTTCGTAACCAATGTTCACTCATTTTCCTGATATTTCAGAAATGTCAACTATCTCACGCGGAACTACCACTTTCATGAATTTACGCAATCCCATTTGACCCTACTTTTTATGGTGTAAGTTCTGCCACACAAAGAATCGTCAAACAGCGAAGCACGCTTTACAGGGCATCTACTCAATGATTTGCGGGTTTCTCGGATATGAAATGAGCTGGTGCTCTCTGGAGGATGACAAGAAATGGAATGGAAAAACTTTATTTTTGTCCTGCAGGATGCGCTTAGCGCGTAGCGAGTGTTTTCCACGTAGGAACTGGCAGGGAATACCTGGCGGCCGCATCATGGGCCAGCTGGACGGCCCCTTGCTAGTCGTCGATAAGTGAACTTCTGAGGGACCTCTCCTACTTGTTAAGGTAGAGTCGACAGGAGTGTTTATACACTCCCAGAGCATGTGTGCGAGTGTCACCATGTGCCCACACGAGGGGCACGTGTCGCTGGGGTACTCATCGGGATAGTAAACGTGAAGCGTAGCAAGGTTTGCGTGCGTGTGAGATTGTAATAAGCGTAGGATTAGCGCCTATGGTTTCGGGATTTGTTTATTTATTTGATTTACAAACACAGAAACACCAAGACACAGGGGAAAGAGGGAGACAGGAAGCTGGCAACTGCCACCTGGAGAGGGCGAAAAAATTGAGCTTTCAAGCTAGAAGTGCTTTGTGATGTCTTTGTATATAATATGATATCAATAACAACAGAAATAAAAATAATAGAGAAAAATTAAGCACCAGGTGTAATATTAAGAAGTGAAGTGTAGAGAAGACTGCAGCAGTAGATTTCAGTGACCACACGCAGGATTGATCGAGGAAGCTGCTTTGCAAAGGTGTCATCTTTTAAATAAAGCACACTAAGGCTAAGTATATTTCTGGCGGAATTTAGATAATGCAGTGAATTCGTTGTCAACGTTAATACAATAAATATAGATACTGCCTTCACATCATGTCATTGCAAGAAATCTGCTGGTTTGGTGTAAAAGGTGACAGCCAGAGCTTCATTATTAGGTAAATTGGTATTGATGAGTAGTAATAGCGTTCATCCCATCTGAAATCAACATGTCACGTAATAAAGCATAACCACCGGGCAGATCATTAACGCAGTTGAACCGCAGGTGAATTCCGTACAGAAAAGAGCAATGCAGTAAACGCCTACCTGCTAGACACTTAAGTCCGGAAGCACCTCACCTTCACTTCCATCCCGAAAGCCGAAACATATAAGTGCGGTTTCATACAGCAAAGCATCGTCACCGCCATGTGACAATATCATTCGTTTGAGCTCGTGTGAGCCTTTGCGTAGAAAAAACTGAATTCAGGCCCATGATTTTATGGCTAGCCCGTGTTGTCGATAATAAACTATTCAATTGTTACGGCATGCTGCGGTCACTTTTACTGTTTTAGGTACGGTATAACAAGCCACTTGAAAGCAGGTTTTCATTCAACTCATTATCAGCAAGCACGAAGCTTTAAAGACAGCATGTCTAGTAGCTTTGTGTAACTGTATTTATTTTTTGGTCTCCCTATCTTCTTCTCCATTTGCGTTTAAACAAGTTATTTGTTTTATATATGCTTGACAGTTTCTTGACCCTGAATTTTAAGAGCGCAATACCAAAAATACTTAGTAATGTGTCCTACTAACAAACTTTTCTGTTGTCGCAAAGCGCCCGCATCTTAGTAAGAAAAGAAATCTTTAAAAAATTATGAATTCTTCAACTATAAGTTCAAGGAATCACAATGGTGTTTTTTGAGTGTTAAGTAGAACTTGCTGGCACTAACTGTTTCAGTTTATCTACTTCTGTTCCTTTTTATGTCGCTAAAATTGAGCAGTTTTCTTTTTCTAATTGATTGAAGGGCACCAACGTTCGATTATTGGGAAAAAGGGTAGCAGCCATGGGAAACTGTATATTCCAAAGGTGTCACTTTGTCCGCTGCGGAGTGATTCAAAACATACGGGACCTTAGGAACAGCGGCAAACGGCGTTCATTCGACACGCAATACTCACGGGTGCCGCGGCGGCGTTGGCGGCCATGGCGCAGTGCCTGGCTCGCATGGGGTCCGGGGGCGCGGCTCGGTACGTGGGCGAGTATCGTCCCGAGAAGCAGGAGCCGGCCGCCGCCGATCCCAGGTGCGGCGGCAGCGGCATGGAGGCCGGCTGCTTGCCGCCGTTCATGATGGCTGCCATGCAGTCCCAGTTGAGCGACGAACCGCCCTCGTGCTTCGTCGTGGCGGCCGTGCTCGCACACCGCGCACCGCAGAAACCTCGCCGCCTCTCCGGCGCCGATCACTTCAGTCGACATCCGCCACCACCCGCCTCATAACTCGCGCCGCTTGCGCGGCATCGTTCGCCGCCTTCGCAGCCAAAGTCGAGCCCCCTCGGGCGCACGTTCTGATACACGGCTGGTCTTTGCCGCCCGTACTGGGCGGAGGGCAAGCGGCTACTATTGGTCTCCCGCAAAGGAGAGCTCACGACGATGGCCTGTTTCACGTGAATCTCACAATACTCGTAGAAGTTTCACGCTGCCTATGAAAAGATTCAAGCACGAAGAACTGGCGAGCTTTCCTTGTTTCTCGTCCTTCTCCTTCAACGTAGTTTCGTAACCCCTTTACCCCTTCTTTCCGCTCTCCATTCGTCTCACTGGTATCGCTTCACTGATGAATGTCGTGGTCTCTGTGCAGCACGCATTGGAGAAACCTGGTTAATGTCGCACGCGCGCACGATTCACAGGGTGGCGCTTCAGCTGTGCCTCGAAACAAGAAGGAAGGGGAAAAGCCGAGCACCGTACCAGCGATGGTACTGAGCGTCGTCGAAGCCGAGCTGCGCCGCGCGACGGTGGAGCCCCACAACAGCACCCGACGACGGAGGCGCCCTGGGTTCTTGTGGAGTTGGCAACTCAGAGGCACCGCCTTTTTTCGCGATCGGCGCGGGACGACCCGACGTCTTCGTGGCGGCCTTTCCTCCGCGAGCGCCACGCCAGCCCCAGCCTTTCCTCTTTTTTTTTCTTTCTCGAAAGCAGCAGTGGCAGAGAGCGCACGGTTTCCACCACGACAGCTGTCGGAGGAACCTCCTCTCCCCCTCTCTGCCCCCGATGCTTCCCTTCTTCCCGCCACTCTTGCTTTTTTTCGGGATCTACGGGAAGGGGAATCGAGCTCACTCTTCATTGCCCTCTGGTGAGAGGGAAAGGAAACGCAGGCACGTCGCGTCGCTTGGCGGCGCTGTGGGGGAAAGCACGAAGTGCGCGCGGGCTGGGCGTGAACCCGAGCTAGCGCCCTTGCCTCTCTGCGCGTGCGCAGATCACGCGCACGTGACGTCACGTTCGAGTGGATGCAGAGGAGGAAGGCAAGAGGAGTAGGATCCATGTGACATGCTTGCGCGATGAACAGTCGCCGTGCGCCCGTAGCTGCGAACTAACCGCGGCTGTTGAGCGCGCGCAGCATGCGGGCCTTAGCATCATGCTGGCTGGACGCGGTGTCGAACGAAGACCCGTGTCAGCGGAAACGATGCTTTCACAATAAAAAAAACGCCAAGCCTGCGTGGAACGCACAGCGAAAACAGTCACAGCGAACGAACAGTGAAAGCAGCAACAGCGGCCTTTCAGAGCCTTCCTGAAACACTATTAGGCTAACTGCTACAAGCATGCTTGCAGGGTACCCACTACGCCATAAATCATCATAATTTTTGAGGGCGAAGCTCCCTATGCAGTGGGTCGTGTGTCCGTAATGTATGTAGTAGTAGTAATAGTAGTAGTAGGTAGCCACCTCCATTGCCGGACTAGAGGAGCGGCACGCGCGCACCCTTTTCAATTGAGGAGGAAACCCGCTCAAGAAAAAGTTAGTTCTTTCTCATGAAATAACTTACAGAGACGAATATTAGTGATTTATTCTGTAATAAGATTTGCCTTAATTTTTATGCCTATTGGAAACACTAGTATCAGAAAGGACGCACTTTGAGCACTATCTGACCAGAAAGGGTTGCCACGTTAAACTCACTGGGCGTAACCTCCTTGGTTTTAGCAAGGTATGGTGAGCGTTGGGCCGCAGTTCCATGAATATAGTGAACTAGTATATAGCCATGAACTAGAGGTGGTGAAAGGTGGGAAGTAGGCTGAAAACGCAGGCTCTAAGAAAGTGCGTGAGTGCCATCTCTCGTTTAGTCCTTGAATTGTCCGCTGGATGGCGGTACTTGTAGATGCAGTAGATATGATGAAAAGATGCGAGATGGCGGTACTTGGAATGTTCACTAGATGGACGGACGGATGGATGGACGGACGGACAGACAGATGCACGAATGGACGCACAGATGGATGGATGCAGAGACGGACGCACAGATGGGTGGAAGCACGGACACACGGACGGATGGACGCACAGACAGATGCACCGACGGAGCGAAGCAAGAACGAACGGACGGAAGAACACTTCGCCCTACTCATCATCATGCACTCCGTGGATAAGCTGTTATTTTTTGTTTAGTAGGGAGGCATTCACTATTTCATCCTTCGTCATTTTTCAGAGAAGCGTGGTACCTGCTACACACTCGCAAGGAATTTTGTGCATTTTTTATGCTGCGGCTGACTAAGATGCAGAAATATTCCTTGCGCTATTTTAATCAGGTTGTATCATTCGATGACCCACTTTACGCAATTCGCCTTGTGTGACGCCTTGCTGTTCCTTTATTGTTCTAAAGCTCTTTATGACACACGTTCATTTGATTCCTTCCCCGACATGAAGCCCGCCTAGGATCAGTTTGCAAAGGAGTCCCAAACGCCGGCGTAGCTTAGTTGTAGAATACTGGGCTAGTATGCAGGGATCCAGATCCGAATCCCATTTTGCCTTTGTGGTCTTTTATTTACTTAGTTTTTTTTTTTCACTTTTGCGCGATTGTGGTTACGGACACCGGCAGTGGTAGAAAGTAACGGCGTACGCAACCCTTGTGATCTCATAACAGTCTTCGCTGTAAAATATTAACGACTTGGGTTTCGCGCCCCAAAACCACGATTTGATTACAAAGGACACTGTGGTGGAGAGCCCCAGCAATTTCGGCCATCCGGTGTACTGTAAAGTGCACTGACACCTCACAGTACATAGGCCTCTAACGTTCGCCTCCATTGAGATGCGTCCGCCGCTGCCGGGTTCGAAAGCGTGACGTTCGGGTCAGCAGACGAGCGTCATAGCCACTGCACCGCCGAGGCTTTACGATTTCCTGAACATAGAACGGAAAGTACACGTTTAAAAGATATTGCTTCTCTTTGGTAGACATATTTTAAGGTGGATTGAATGTTTTCTACAGAATCGCTTTCAATATGTAGCCGTTAATAATAATGAATCTCCTCACTGTCCTGTTACATCTGGTGTCCCTCAGGGATCAGTATTGGGGCCTCTTCTCTTCCTAATTTATATTAATGATCTTCCTGATACCATAACCTCATCAATACGTCTTTTCGCTGACGATTGTGTTATATATAGAAATATATGTGAACCTTCTGATCCCTCACAACTTCAAACCGACCTTAACACAATTTCAGCCTGGTGCAACATCTGGCTAATGAAACTAAACGTCGATAAGTGCAAATATATGAGGTTAACTCGAACAATCAAGCACACCCCTGTAAACACATATTTCCTGAGTGGCTCCCCTCTATTATCGGTTACCACCTACAAATACCTGGGCGTTCAGATTTCAGATAACCTTTCGTGGCACTCGCACATTGAATATATTAGCAATAATGCGAACCGCATGCTCGGCTTCCTTCGACAAAATTTCTTTCGAGCTCCCACTTCATTAAAACTGCAGCTTTACAAAACCCTTGTACGGCCGAAGATTGAATATGCCTCTTCTGTATGGGATCCACATTCTGCCAATCTTGTCTCCACACTTGAAGCTATCCAAAATCGGGCCGCTCGTTTCATTCTCTCTGATTATTCCCGGTCATCCAGTGTCACTAACATGAAACAAGTAGTACAACTACCTGATCTTGCAACCCGTCGTATGATATTCCGCCTATGTGTTTTCCATAAAATATTTTACACCAATCAGACCATAAAACAATCCCTTATTTCAGTTCCATCATACGTGTCATCCCGCATTGATCATCCGTTAAAAGTTGGTGTGCCAAACTCCCGAAAAAACCTCTACGTGAACTCGTTTGTCCCAATGACCAGCGTGCAGTGGAATCACCTTCCAGCCTCCATCGTCTCCATCAGCGACGCTGCGCACTTCAGGTCCACTGTCAGAAATCTTTTTTTTGTAACCACCCCGCTGTTGTCTTTTTCTCTTGATTTTTTAATATTGTACCCCTCCTCTCTGTAACGCCTTACGGCATTGAGAGTAAATAAATGGAATGAAATGAAATATGCCGCGAAATCATTGTTCAATGAACATAAGGCGAACTGCTTTTGCAGTTCCATTGACTTCTTGCAAAGTTCAGACAGAGTACGTACATAATAAATGCACCTAAGAAGCAAGATCACTATTTTCTGCGTGCTGCGGAGAGAACAATGATAACGCGTGTTTAAAAGATTTCCTTTCAAAAGTACAAATATACGCCCCGCCGTGGTGGTCTAGTTGGCTAAGGTACTCGGCTGCTGACCCGCCGGTCGCGGGATCGAATCCCGGCTGTGGCGGCTGCATTTCCTATGAAGGCGGGAATGTTATAGGCCCGTGTTCTCAGATTTGGGTGCACGTTAAAGAACCCCAGGTGGTCAAAATTTCCGGAGTTTCCTACTACTTCGTCTCTCATTATCATATGGTTGTTTTGGGACGTTAAACACCACATATCCATCAATATATTAAAAGTACAATGCACTTACGTAGCACCTAATTATCTATACGTGAGCATTAAAAAAGTAAAATTAATAGCCCTAAATACCGAAATGCAATACGCAAGAAAGTGACACTACTACGAAACACGCCGTGGTGGAGGGTGCATGATTCTCTTTAGCCATCTTAGTATTTTCAAGTGCACCTAAGGCTAAGTACCACACGAACACTCTTGCATTTCGCCGTCATCGAAATGCGTCAGCGGATACTGAAAATCGAACCCTCCACATGCTGCTCAGTGACGCGGTGCCATAGAACCTGAACCAGTGCAGTAAATCTATAGTAAATTTCAGGGTCGTGAGAAATAAAATTCAAGACGAACTTTTGGGTTTTATTTTTCAAGCTAAACAGCAGGAACTTGTCATGAG